TATCAATATGTATTTACATGAAAACATTTTTACAATATATACAGTCAAGATGGATTATGGTTTAAAGCAGAGGAAACAAATAGTCTATGTCTCCAGAATCACGTGGTCAGCAGGGTAGAAGCCATACTGTTTGTTACGGCCGACAAGCCCACTCCGGCACCACCCAAAGGACATGCCCCTCACATCCATTGGGAACTTTTGCTTGATGCGCATGCCTGCAAGAAACAAAAGTAACACCATAACCCAAGAGAACCACACAAGTATAAAAAAATACAAATATCATCAACATTTTTCCAGTAATCATTCGCTCTACTTCTGCTCATAAAGAGTAGGACCACTTAGGCTTAACCTCACACATGCAGCATCCATGCAAGGTCATCCATGTGCAACTATAGGCGCTCCTACATCCGACCCATGAGTGTTGCAGGCACTGCTGGGTGGGAACACTCACCTAGATTCAGCTGGAGGTGCTCAGGGTGGGTGGGCTTGAAGGGGCGGACAACTCGCACATAAACGTCCTCCATGTATTTAATGTCGTCCTCCACTGCAGCTGAAGAACGACACGGGCATTTGATGAAGGTCTACATCTTCCAATACATCCTATTAATTGAACTCTACCACATTGTTTGCACAAGCCACAGTTTCGGGCAACACAAAGCATTATCACAGAGAGGGATATAACGTAAGGCTCTATTTACCAGCAACAGTCTCATTGTTATTGATGTCACCGTCGTCACCATTCTTGGTCCTAGACTTCGAGATCCAGCATCTGCGCCTGTGAACTGGCTGGCCCATGGCTGACATGACTTCTTGTGCCAGGCAGTTCTCCTCAGTCAGGCCTTTCTTCAGATCTCGTCTAATGACCACATCAGATGCTCGGATAAACGAGGTTGGAATTTTCTCCAAGAAGCCAAATTTCTGATGCCAACCCTGAACATCCGGGAAGACATATTTCCGTGAGGTCACATCACAGGTGGCATTGACAATGTCATCGACAGCTATGTCATCTATAGCTGACTTTAGGAAGTTGGTCCTGCAGCAACAGAAAATCCTATCATTTTTCAAACAAAACAGAGGATAGCTAACAAAGCTATGCAAAGGGAATACAGCTGACCTTAAGATTAACTTAAAATATAATCAGAAAGGATAAAACTGCGTATAACACACTGATGCGACGATTGTAGCTCTCTTATAAACGAGAGAGAAAGAGAGAGAGAGAGAGAGAGAGAGAGAGAGAGAGAGAGAGGGCATCAGAACTTCAGAACAATACACCGTGACACAGTTAAGCCAATGCTACTGCTGTACCTGTCAGCGTTGTCAGACGAGCACGTCTTGACAACAAAGTCTCTGAGACTGGAGACCAAGGACTCCAACTGACTCTTCTGCAGGGCACATGCTTCTTGACATGCATGGTCAGAGGTCTGGGTGGGCGGAGAGAGGGGACAAACAAAACAGGGAATTGATAGAGAAATGACAGAAGGAAAAACAAAAAGTAACAGGAGAATGACAGAAACATGCACGAAAACAGATGAGGGCAAGATATCGAAAGACAGACATGAACAAGAGCGGATATTTGTGTTTTGCATGTCATTGTGTAGTTTTGGGTTTGTTTGTGTCGGTAAGGGGAAGAGTTAACTTAAATAGAGAAAGAAGGTTAATCAAGATTAAGATAAAGAGTTCTAACACAGAGGAACCAAACACAAGAATGGGTAGGAATGGCAGGAGACACAGAAGTAAGCTCCCCTATTTTCAAATGCACACCTTTCTCAGCTTGTTCACAAGCTCACTCTCCTCCTTCAATAGCCGTTCGTAATGGATTCTGTGGGTCCTCTTCTTCTGGTCGTATTTAAACAGCTTGGACTCCAGAGTCCGAACTTTCTTCTCTACCATGCTGGGCCGGGATCTCTTAGACTTCTCCCCCACCTTCTCCAGCTCAGCCTTCAACTCGCTTATTCTCCGTTCATAATTGTGAGAGGCAGTCATGGCCATTATTCCGTTCTGCCAAGAAGGAGAAAACATCCAACTTGTTGTATTCTACTTTGATGAACATACGATTATGTGTATGGCATTGAGAATACAAAACAAATTATGATTAACGCTTCATCCTGAAGGCAGTCGCCACAACAACTTACCTCCTTCACGTCCTGGAGATGTTTGAGGCACACCATGTGTCTCTCAGTCAGGGACAGAAGTTCCCGGCTCAGGTCCTTGTGCTCAGATGACACGCCTCTCCTGTTAGTAGACGTCAGTCTGAAAACATAACCACCAACAACCATGAATACCTTACTGTCCATTTTATAAATCATTCACTCAAAACGAGACAGTCAGAAGTCACACGGGAGTACCATCGACAGATGCAATAAGTTTTCTCACTTTTTTAGAGATCGGATGGATCCGTTCTGGCCGGTAAGATCACGTGACACGGTGAGAATATGGTTAGCCTCCTGTTCGGACGATTTCAGGTAGCAGTCCAGAAGATGACGAATCTCATAACTCTCGGAACATGCTAAAAACCAAAAACGCAAAAGTATTAGCCAAAACGCGATGCAGACATTCAACAAAGTCGATAATAGACCAAAATGATAGCTAAAAGCAACATTACAGGAACTTTAAAGTCAAAGGGTTAATCTAAATAAGTAATCGCATGCTTACCGTCTTGACTGACAGTGTCAAGCTTGCCTTTACAATCTTCACACCAGCTGAGCAGCCTCTCGGCGTACGAATGATTGATGTCGATCCGGGAAGTGATTAGTTCAAACCAGAAACGAGAAGGGTTGATGCTGTAAACAGACAGTAACAACTCTTTGTAAACTGGCAAAAGACAGGGGAAATTTAGCCTAAAGTAGCGCGAATTGTGGTCCTCAGGATTGGCATGTTTTGGGGCGAAAATGTATTATATGACCTCGTGCCACACTATGATATTGTCGGCGATTTCCAATATACTTAATACTGTCTGAAAACGGGAACGGCATGGGGCAATTTTGTTTGAGGGATCGCTGAAATTGGCATATGCACTTCGGTATACCCTTTGAAATCAGGGTCCAAAATGGCGACCTAGCAACGAGAACGTCCGTTACATTTAATTTGGAGATTCCATCACGCTACGTACAATATAAGAATTAAAAAAATCTACTTACAGTTCCCCCTCGTTCTGAAGATGATGGAAATCTGGAAGGTGAATCTCATTCATGCTTGTAAAAAAAGGAAAAAGACAATTTTGGCAGAGCTATCAGACTTGACCAAATGTAAATCTGGTTGCTACGCAAGCAATGGCGGCGTTGCCATTATGACGTCACAGAGGCGATTCCGTCACATCTCGGTAAAGTCCGTCATCGCAGGCTGAGCTCGACTAGGGTAAATTTTGTCGTCTGGTAGAATGTGGGGAATTTACGAAGATAGATCAATATCCCGACTGCGAGCTGGCTGGTGTACATGAGTGAGTGAGTGAGTAGGGTTTTACGCCGCTTTTAGCAGTATTCCCGCAATATCACGGCGGGGAACACCAGAAATTGGCCTCACACATTGTACCCATGTCGAGAATCGAACCCGGGTCTTCAGCATGACGAGCGAAGGCTTTAACCACTAGGCTACCCGACTGCCTCTGAGATACTGCATGAGATACTCAGAGTAGCATTCTTGATGGTTGCCCCACACAGTCACATTTTTTCAGTCAAATTTCACGTGTGCAAGTATCTGGGGTCGGGAGATACTAAAAGTCTCAATTCTTTACAGTTGCCGACTATATCAGTCAATTTTCAAGTGTCTGAAACCTATATGTTCAGCTATTTATAACTGATGTACGATTTGGTCGATGATGTCGTGCTATATATCATTAAAAAGATTATATCCTCAAGTATATGACAAAATTACATCCATAGATAGATATCCCGTCTGCGAGGGGGGGGGGGGGGGGGGGGGGGGGGGCGGGGCGGGAGATACTAAAAGTCGCAATTCTTGCAAGATGGTTGCCGATTTTGCGTGTTTAATTTTATGGTGGAAGTATTTGACCCTTGGTGTTCCGCGATCTGTAAGTCCTGTAGGGCTTGACAGCGATATCCGGTCATATATCATTAAAAACACTACATCTTGTAGGATGTGGAAAAATTAAGATGAAAACTAAACATCCATTCTCTGAGGAGGGACGCGGGAGATACTATATCCACCCGATCCCGTAAGTCGCCTTTTACGACAAGCATGGGTTGCTGAAGACCTATTCTAACCCGGATCTTCACGGGTTTGTTCGATCAGAGTAACACCATTCAAGGCTGAAATTTGTTAAGCTTTCAAAACGTTTATTCGTTGACATGGGGAGGACATCCCAAATATGACGCATCAGTTTAAAAAATGATATCCGATGCAATTAGACTTGTACTACATGTCACCATGGTTTTTTTCAGGTGAATAATTGAATTTCCTTTGCATGTGATTGTGACGGATTCCACCAGCTGCAGTGGGGCAGGATATACGCTCATATTTTCGTGAAAACTGGGTATCATCACTATTTGATAGTGATTCATAAACACGTCATAAAGTAGGAATCGTATAATGAGACATTAATTAATATATGATTATGGAAAGGATTTCGTCGCTTTTATCTCATCGGGTTGTGACCTACATTCATAAGCGTGCACAACCAGCAAAACAGATGAGGTGAAATGGGGTTTAACGTCGCGTCCAAGGTTATTGCACTTATATAGCGACGTGTATGTACGTTTGTGTGTGTTTGTGTGGCTGCTTGTACTAGTCCGGACTGATGCCGACCAGTCCTTGTTTTAGCCCCTTCATGTCGAGCGCCAGACAGGGAAACAACAAGTACCATCTTTTAACGTCTTTTGGTATGACGCGGTCCGGGATCGAACCCCGGACCTTCCGCTCTCCGGGCGGACGCTCTACCACTAGACCACGGAGGCGGTCCTCATCCGGTTGTAGTGGCATCGGACACTGCCAGGACACATCAATACACTGCAATTTCCACAATATACAAAACCTTTAGGCTCACAAAGATACACATTTTTATTCGGCGCTTAACGGGCACATCTCCGAGCAAATGCATCCTCCACTTTTCAGCACAGGCCACATTTTCTTGGACAGAAACGTCTCACGATGGGTGCATAATCACAATGTGCTAACGGTACACTGTCACACCGGCCCAGGTCCACTTTACATTTTTCTGGAAAATATAAAAAAAGATCATTGTGAAAAGTATAACTTACCTTTTATCAAATACGAAAATGAAAAGACAGAGTGAGTTGAATCGAACCCCGGACCTTCCGCTCTCCGGGCGGACGCTCTACCACTAGACCACGGAGGCGGTCTCTTCCTGAACTAAGCCTGTTCACTACCCAATAGCGAAGCCTAGTTTTCACCCTATCCATTTCAAGCCTACTTTTCTGTGCTAAAATATGAATGAACTATCTCACACATCATTAGTACAATCAGAGAACGTTTCACAAAATCAATACCAGTGTTTCGAAAACGTGGTCGCTGCCATCGCTTGTCGAAATTGTGCTGAAAGTATTCCGAAAATTAAGCGAAGACAAATATTTTCTAAGTGGATAAAAATTTTAATTCAACTCGCCAAAAGAATGTTTAATTATTTGAATGCAAACTTATGTTTGCTTAATGCTTAAGGAATATTAAAATAATGGTATATATTGTTCTCATGCAGTCAGTTACTTTTTACTTTTTTTTATATTCTCTTGCTTTGACAAAGTAGACACAATTTATGGATAACAACTTCTTTAATGCCGTAAAGGCGACGTTTCGGTATAGATCCTTATACCGTTGACAAGCAAGGCTGAATGAGGAATATTGTACAGAACATATATAGTAGGTGGAGGATTAACAGTAGACGATTAACAGTATTAAAGAAGTTGTTATCCATAAATTGTGTCTACTTTGTCATGCGTCAACTTCTAAGTAATGCCTATCAATAAACTCATTCTCTTGCTTTGTTTTCGGGGGCACGGGTGGCCATTCGTCTAAGGCGCCGCGGTTCGCTGTGCAGAGTTGCGTCCCTTGGGCACGCCAGAAACCTATGATTGTGGATTCGAATCCCGGTTCGACCCGATTATGTTTCTAGGTTTGTCAGCATCATACCCGTGCTCGTGGGTTTCACCGAAGTGGTAAACGTCTGAGACCTGCATCGTTTCGGGCTTTCCTCCCAAATTAAGCTGACATGCCGTGATATAACTGGAACACTGTTCAAAGCGGCGTTAAACCCAACTCACTCACTCACCCACTCTTGCTTTGTTTTCAACATACTTTTACTGCACGTGTTTCCCTCCCACGTGTCAGGGCACGTGCAGGAGCAGGTGTTTCCGTCGAGAGTCCCTCCATTGAGACACGCCATGCCTTTACAATCTGGAAAAGGTCACATCTGCAAAATTAATATATTAGGCACAAATTGTCTGAATGTTTGGAAACCAGTGTCAGCGAATCTGTGTGGGATATGTGCAATAATAACGCAAGCTGGGCACATTATCCACTGGTATTTCGAGGCAATGCAACCAGTGTTGATAACGTGACCAGTTGGTTATGGGACTCGGACCCCAGGGGAGAGAGGAGAGAGGCGAGAGGAAGAAAGACTTTATTCCTCCTCTCGAGCGTTTACTAGTACAAGTATAACCGAAATGTGTGTTATCTAGATGATAAACAACGACAAAAATGTCAAAATACTTGAGAAAGAACGACAGATATCGTGTTAAACAGCTTACTTCATATCCTTGTTCCCCTGTACAGAAGTAGACTCGACCAACGCCGTGTCATGTTCGCACGTGCAACACAATCTGCTCGAGACCACAACGAGCTCAACGTCATAAATCCTTCGTCCGAAATCGTCCGGATTAAGTGAGTGAGTGAGCGAGTTGGGTTTAACGCCGCTTTTTACAGTATTCCAGTTATATAGCGGCGTGTCACATTAATGTGTGAGGTAAGCCCGAAATGATGTAGGTTCCAGACGTTTACCACTTTGGTGAAACCCACGAGCACGGGTATGGTGCTGACACACATAGAAACATAATCGGGGCGAACCGGGATTCGAATCCAGAATCATAGGTTTCTGGCGAATCGAAGGCACGGCGAATCGCGGTGCCTTAGACGACTGGGCCACCTGTCAATTTAAGTTTGTATGTGTTCTTGACTCCTGATAATTTTTAGGAGGTGAGATGAGGTGAGGTGAGGTGAGGTGAGGTGAAATTGGGTTTAACGTCGCGTCCAAGATTATTGCGCTTATGTAGCGACGTGCATGCACGTGTGTGTGTGGTTGCTTGTACTAGTCCGGACTGATGCCGATTTATAGTACTAGCTCACTAAGATACCATGCCGCAGTTTAACATGAATACCCCACTCAGACACAGTATACTGACTCGGAGCCGACCAGTCATTGTTTTAGCACCTTAATGCCCAGCGCCAGACAGGGTAACAACAAGTACCATCTTTTAACGTCTTTTGGTATGACGCGGCCGGGGATCGAACCCCGGACCTTCCGCTTTCCGGGCGGACGCTCTACCACAAGACCACGTAGGCGGTCTTAAAATTGAAGAAGAAAATCATGTCTGATGTTAAAGAGTTGCTCTCTCATTCCATTTGTGAACATTGCTTCAGTAAACTTGGGTTATTCATTTTTCCTTTCATGATTTTGTCCTTTTTCGTGTTTAAGCCATGGGCTTACATTTGGTTAAATGAAACGCAATAAAGAGAGGCGAAATCAGCAACTAAACCCAGGGTATAATAAGGTGCATTCCCCATAGTGTGCTTATATCGTAGCAAATGGATAAGAACGTTCCCATTTTCGTATTTCATTCAATTCCTAATGTTCAGCGACATTCCATTGATGTCATACACGAGGTTACGATGACGTCATAGTTTACGGTAGTTCCCACATTCGCTTTTGCCGGAAGCAATGTGCAACCTGTCGTAATATTTGAATTAATTCACTTTTTGTTTGGTATATTACGCCCAATGTTTGACAATTTGACTTATTCTGTGATTCTCACTTCACATTGGCGAAATATTGACTTAAAATATGCTCAACAACAAAAGTTCCCGTGACACCAATATTTTAGTGTATTTTTCAAACAAGTAAAGTTTGGTTTTCTATATTGTAGTACATGTATGGACTCAAGTTAGAAAAACGCAACTGCTACAGAAAATAATGCATTCCATGCAAAAGTTGACTTTTATGCAAGCCCCATGCATTTCACTTCCCAAGAATGGGTAGAAAAACATGTGCGTTAACGGGATTCAATATGCATTGTTTAGCATCGTGCTGACAATAACCACTCAGAAAAAAAAAATTACGCAATTTTTCAACACTATGAAATGCCACGCTTGTCCGAAAATGAGCGTCTGCGAGCCATTGGTATGCTTGAAGCAGGATCGAGTCAATGTGATGTTGCACGACAATTTAACGTCCACAGAAACATCATTTGGTGTTTATGGCAACGTTGGCAACAGACGAATGCAGTCAGAGACCATCCTCGGAGTGGCAGGCCACGCGTAACCAATAATCGACAAGACAACTGGATTTGAACAACACACTTACGAAATCGATTCCAGCCAGCAACAGTGACTGCAAGAAGCATCCCTGGCCTTCGACGAATATCTTCACAAACCGTACGTCGTCGCCTCAGATGTGCAGGGATTGTCGCCAGAAGACCCACCAGACGTCCTATTCTATTCACTGACGAGTCTCCTTTTCACCTCAGCCACAGCGATGGACTGATTCGAGTGTACCGACGTCGAGGTGAACGTAACGTCAATCATTGTGTCATTGAAGAAGATCGGTTCGGGGGCGACAGCGTTATGGTATGGGGTGGGATTACAGCAAGACAGAGGACCCGTTTGATAGTGGTAGAGGGAAATCTCAATGGACAGCGCTACCGCGACGAGATCATCGGCCCAGTTGTTCTACCGTTTTTGCGTCGTTATGGCCCAGGTATTACCTTTCAACATGACAACGCCCGGCCTCTCTTCAACAAAACAACGTGAATGTCATCCCCTGGTCGGTACGCTCCCCTGATCTGTCACCAATCGAGCACATGTGGGATGAGATGGATCGGCGACTTCGACGTCAACCACGTGTTCCACAGACACTGGAACTTCGAAACATGCTCCAGCAGATATGGACGGATATCCCACAGGACTTTGTGCGACGCCTGGTCCATTCCATGAGACGAAGATGTGTTGCTTGCTTCGCAACCAGAGGTGGACACACACGCTTTTGATTTGTAAATTGACATTTTGGCATGTTCATGTGTAGTTGTTTTTATGAAATCACGCATTTTCTGAAGTCAGTATGGCAAATTAAACCATTTGAACACTTACAGGAGGAGTCTTTTATCTGTTGCAAACCGAAATTGTTTCAGATTTGGTAAAAAACATAACTTTGCATTAAATCTAATTCAATGTCACAGGAACTTTTGTTGTTCAGTACACGTTGAAACACGGCAGTACGAGTGAATTTGAATATTGTGAATGATTTTTTAGTTCTGGGAAAGAACCGGACGGACATGCTGACAGCGATGTCCCCGCAGAATCTGCTGGTGGGTAAAACACCATGAAATCGTTTCATAACAATCGTATGAATGATTTTTTTCTAGGATTGATCTTATCACGTACCTTTACTGCACGTGTCTCCCGTCCAGGTGCCCATGCATGTGCACGAGCACGTGCTCGTGTCCAGAGATCCGCCGTTCAGACACAGCTTGCCGCCACAGTCTGCAAACTGACTTGAGTGAGGGAAACTTACGGAAGCCTTTTAGGGCCATTTGTTTTTAAAAAAAAATGTTCGATACTATCTTGAAATTTCAAGATCCTAAGTTGAAATTTCAAGATACTATCTTGAAATTTTAAGATACAGAAGTTGAAATTTCCAGATAATAAGTTGAAATTTCCAGATAATAAGTTGAAATTTCAAGATAGTATCTTGTATTCCAATTTCAATTTCTGTATCTTGAAATTTCAAGATAGTATCGAAAAAAATAAAAAAACACATGGCCCTAAAAGGTTTCCGTAGAAATTTGCTTTACGCCGCAGTCAGCACATATTATATACTGAGGAATGGTACGGGCTGAGTACGGACTGTAAATAATAAAATCTGGACCAGGAAAAACCAGTGGTTAAAGTCATGAGCAACAATTCACGTAAACGTTATACGATGACAGCCGATCCGCTAAGTAACGCAGTTCTACCACCTGATCCCCATATCAGTCAACTCTTGCGTGTGTTAAGGAACTTACCCGTGAAGATCCGGGGTGGAATAGGTCTTCAGCAACCCATGCTTGCCGTAATAGGCGACTATGCTTGTCGTAAGAGGCGACTGACGGGATCGGGTGGTCAGGCTCGCTGACAAGGTTGATGCATGTCATCGTTTCCCAATTGCGTGGATCGATTCTCAATCACTGGATTGTCAGGTCCAGACTCGATTATTTACAGACTACCGTCATATAGTTGTAATATTGCTGAGTGCGGCGTTAAACAACAAACAAACAAACATATATCTTGAATGAAATTACATTGTATGTGTTTTTGGTTTGTATGGAAGACCAGAATGACTGGAGCTAAGAAGGATATTCAGAGGGTGATCCAGAGTAGTCAGGGGCGGTCGGGTAGCCTAGTGGTTAAAGCGTTCGCTCGTCACGCCGAAGACCCGGGTTCGATTCCCGACATGGGTACAATGTGTGAAGCCCATTTCTGGTGTCCCCCGCTGTGATATTGCTGGAATATTGCTAAAAGCGGCGTAAAACCATACTCACTCACTCACTCACATATTGAGTCGCAGTAGGGGCCAGCGGTCGCATTCTTTTGGAGACGCATTAATTTTACGATTTACAGTACATTGTTGTTTGGCATTCAGTTTAGAGGTATTTTTTCCCCAATATTCCAGCTAAGACGACGACATGTATAGAATCGAGTGTGTGCCAGACAATCAAGTGATTGATATTGTGAGAAACAATTATATAAAACCATATCATCGGGGGACGCCCCGTGAAGATTCCGTGGTAGAATAGGTCTTCAGCAACCCATGCTTGCCGTTAAAGGCGACTATGCTTGTCGTAAAAGGCGACTAACGGGATCGGGTGGTCAGGCTCGCTTACTTGGTTGATGCATGTCATCGATCCAAATTGCGTAGACCGATGATCATGATGTCAATCACTGGGTTGTCTGGTCCAGACTCGATTATTTTACAGACCGCCGTCATACAGCTGGAATATTGCTGAGTGCGGCGCTAAAAAACAACAAACATCGGGGGACGATGACACCCCCTCAACGAAGTCGCCGAGCCTGACCACCCGATCCATTTGGCTGCTTCTTACGTCAAGCAAAGGTTGGTGGGGACCAGGAAACCGACGAGGTAATGTTTTGTAATGAAATGTATCCCTCTTAAATCAGCAGTCAGCATTGCTCGTACTTTTTATGTTGGTTGAATGATCTCCATTCAAGTTTCATAAGAAATCTGACCCGTGAAGACCCGGGGCAGAATAGGTCTTCAGCAACCCATACTTGCCGCAAAAGGCGACTATGCTTGTCGTAAAAGGCGACAAACGGGATCGGGTGGTCAGGCTCGCTGACTTGGTTGATGCATGTAAACGTATCTCATTTGCGAGGGACCCGTGAAGATTCCGGGGTAGAATAGGTCTTCAGCAACCCATGCTTGCCGTAAAAGGCGACTAACTGGATCGGGTGGTCAGGCTCGCTGACTTGGTTGATGCATGTCATCGATCCCAATTGCGTGGATCGATGCTCATAATATCAATCACTGGATTGTCTGGTCCAGATTCGATTATTTACAGACCGCCGTCATATAGCTGGAATATTGCTGAGTGCGGCGTTAAACAACAAACAAACCAATTATTTGCGAGGATCGATGCTCATGTTGCCAATCACTGGATTGTCTGGTCCAGACCCGATGATTTACAGACCGCCGTCATATAGCTGGAATATTGCTCAGTGCGGCGTTAAACAACAAACATTAGACATCTTTGTACAAGTCCACGTGAAGAGTGAGTACTCACCACACAGGTTGTCTGAACACTTGCCGACAGGGCATTTACTGCAGGACGCACCCTTCTCGAAAGGAGTTTTAATGTCTGATGACATTTGTCTGCAATAACAATAAGTAGCAGTGTTGCTGTCAGAACGAGATGATGAGTTTGTCTTAACGCCAACCGAAACTGTATTTCAGTCATATCGCAGCGTGTCAGCTTAATGAGGGAGTAATTCCCGAAATGATGCAGGTAAGTCGGTGTTTACGTTTGGTGAAAACTGGTACTATAGGTCCGCGGTGCCAACCCCCGTTCGGTTCACCGGAAGACGAGCCCTGTTGGTGGTATTTCGGATGACGTGGATGCTAATAGTTTAACTTTGAAATATATTTTTCGTATTTTATTGTCTTGCAAAGAACGACAAATCAATAAAAAATATTTCTTAGCTTATGAGCGCGCATGGTCATGCAATGTATGTGGAAATCCCAGTTTAATTTCCTTGTACCAGTTGTGTACACTGATGTGACTGAAGTGTTCTTGAAATGGACGCCAAGACAAAATGTGGGGCATACCGGATGCCAAGAGTGGAGGATGGGGTGGGGTGTCAAAAAAGGACGCCCTATAAACTACTGTCCTGCTTAAAGAACGAAGACATACTCATGTGATTGTCACTGTTATGTATACTCTTCAACAAGAAGAAACGCAAAAGTAATAAAATCGTAAATATCTGACAAAATTAATACCAAAAATGAATAATTGGTCATGTCTGCATGGATTGGGATTGATTTGTGTGGAAGAAATGAGGTACTGCAGAAATCTGGTGACAAGATGGAAAAATCGCAACGATACAACCACGTAAGAGCCTGGCGCCGAAACATACCAACATGACATGCACGTGCAATATCACTTGTAGAGCTATAAAAACGTTGGGTTTTCATTTGCATGCCATCACAATCTTACAATATGTGAACAGTGACAACATGCCACGACTGACGGAAACCCAAACTGCAAACAGTCGGCCAATTGCAAACAGGAGCATCATCTTCAGCAGTAGCCAGGTTCTTTCACAATCTCATTAAAAACAGATCTTAGTTCTCGCTACAGCTAAACAAAGATCTGAGGACATCCCATTACGGGTCACTTCAGACCGACCTTGCGCGAACTTTGACCGACCAATGGATTGACCAATCAGAAGGCAGCTTTCTCGTGCTTTACGGCACTAATTTCAAATTGGCGACTACGCTTCGAAACATATTTTGACAAATTCTCGATTACAAATTTGAAACCTGAACAAAAGAACATTCTAGAATGGCTAATAGATGGTCTAGATTGTATGGATTCAGTCGTTAAACCCGTAACTATCGTTCGGAATATCCCGTGTTAATGTTTTCGAGGTTGTATGATAAGAAATCACATTCCGACTGTCACTTTCATGATCTGGTAAGTGACGCTCTGATTGGTCGGATGAAAGGTCGTTCTGACGTGACCCCTAATGGGATGTCTTCAGATCTTTGTTTAACGGTAGCGAGAACTAAGGTCTGATTTTAATGAGATTGGGTTCTTTCACTACGATATCGACTGCTCCTTCGACAACTACTTCTCCAACGATGACTCACCCCATCGCATAGTTGCACACCTGGTAGCGGCCATACTTGTTGGGACAGATGGCTTCTCCACACCCGATGCGAATGGCTCTGTATCCTACAACCTGAACATGTAAAAATATGTCCACTGTGGGAATGTGCAACATTTTCAGAGTTAATATCAAAATGAAATCCCATGAACGAGCAAGCACACTCACATGTTCACATTACCACCGGGGGCGGTCGGGAAGCCTCGTGGTTAAAGCGTTTGCTCGTCACGCTGAAGACCCGGGTTTGATTCCCGACATGGGTACAATGTGTGAAGCCCATTTCTGGTGTCCCCCGCCGTGATATTGCTGTAATATTGCTGAAAGCGGCGTAAAACCATATTTACTCACATTACCACCCATTGTGTTGATGTGAATATGTCTTACGGATCAGAAGTGGCATAATGTATTTGTATTAAAATCCCGGTTTATGTCTGGCTACATAATTTCAGGGACCAATAATTTTTACCATTCGAGAGAGGGTTTTTTTGTTGAAAAAAATAATTTGTTTCCCCAAAATGGAAACAAATAATTTGTCCTCAACAAAGAAAGTTTTCGCTTGACATGCTTGAATTCCTAAAAGAAATGTGTTGTTGAACAAAATTACGTGTTTTGAAGCGGTGAATGAAAATATTAAAATATTCTGTCTACCAAATTCCCATGCTTAACCATCTCTCGAAAATATGCTCAATGGTGGGTCCCTTATGATTCTGTATCAATACCTGTCTCAGTCTCTCAAGCATATTTTTCTCTCTTCCACCCAGCCCTTATTATAATGCTATAGTCATAAATGAAGCAAGTCTAGAAGTCACCAGGTTCAATCTCCCATGTCACTCGGGCGCCGAGTTGCTTGTTTCTATATCCAAATTATATATTCAGATACTAAGCGCTAGTCGATGGCCATACCATCTGACCACGTTACCTGGGTGTAGTGACCAACAACCTTTCCTGGTTCAGTAGGACCGACGCCGTGTTCAAAGAAGTCCACCTCCGAGTGCCACCCGTCGACTCCCTTCATCACCGACTTGTACCCGGCAGCGATGTTCTGACCGATGGAGACTCCAGGCATACCTAGGAATTAAATGTGCTGCATCAGCGTGTTGAAACTGCGTTGTCAGCAATTCCACCGCGATGGCCTGCTAAGGGACCGGCTATTTGATATTCTGGGTAACCACCTACGTGGTCTAGTGGTAGAGCGTCCGCCCGGAGAGCGGAAGGTCCGGGGTTCGACCCCCTAGGGTGTCATACCAAAAGACGTTAAAAGATGGTACTTGTTGTTACCCTGTCTGGCGCTCGGCATTAAGGGGCTTAAACAAGGACTGGTCGGCTCGGAGTCAGTATACTTATCTGAGTGGAGTATTCCTGTTAAACTGCGGCATGGTATCTCAGTGAGCTAGCACTATAAATCGGCAACAGTCCGGACTAGTACAAGCAACCACAAACACACACATGCACGCATGTCGCTATATAAGTGCAGTAATCTTGGACGCGACGTAAAACCCCATTTCACCTCACCTGATATTCTGGGCTATGAGCCTGGATATTTGTTTTTAAAAATCATCTTGAAACAATGTATTTTTGTGGCAACAATGTCTTTTTTAGCAGTCTGAAGCATAATTATTTTATTCAAGCATATTCTTGAACAGTCTATTGTTTTTCGATAAATTCCCAGTGATTTTTGGAGGGTGGGTCGCTGTTATCACTCATATTACGTATACTGCGAATTTATATTTAAAACTATTCAAGTTTGTTCCCAAATGAATAACAAATACATCTGAAATATTGTTTGCTTATTTTGACGATCGGGGGCACGGGTGGCCCAGTCGTCTAAGGCGCCGCGATTCGCTGTGCAGAGTTGCGTCTCTTGGGCACGCTAGAAACCTATGATTGTTGGTTCGAATCCCGGTTCACTCCGATTATGTTTCTAGGTTTGTCAGCACCATACCCGTGCTCGTGGGTCTCACCGAAGTTGTAAACGTCTGGGACCTGCATCACTTCGGGCTTTCCTCCCACGTTAAGGTGACACGCCGAGATAACTGGAATACTGTTAAAAGCGGCGTTAAACCAAACTCACTCACTTTCACCAAGAAACATAGCTGCACTTTCTGCCGTGCGAAACCCCTATTACCACTCCTTGTTCAAACCAGGGATAGCCATGTATGGAGCAATGGGCATACTTGGAACTGATCTTGCAGAGTAGGAGTCATGGCCCATATAACACTGACGGGCCCATTTCCCAGCATAGACCGCCAGCTCGTCGTCCCATACCTGCAACCAAACTATTTTGTAGTCAATCAATTGCAAGATGGAATATATCACCCAAGAACGGTTTATTTTCTATCATGAATGGCAACATTCACCACGTTTTACCCGGAATCAACAAGACTGACATACCAAATTTCATATTGATATTACGACAGATGAAAGTTCACAATTTATACATGAATTTAATCTAAATTCATTTATAAAATTTGTACTTTAAATTATGTGTTTAATAAATAAACAAAATATAAACATTCAGGGCACTTAATTTGCATGTTTTAGTTAACCATGTTATATATTGATTAGAATTAACATATCATTGATTGTACGTCATTATTGATACTGCGGTTCACTGAATACTGTGTAAAAATATATATTCTTAACTATTGTAATCCCAAACTTGCGACTGATAAGAACGCTCTCCCAAAACAATAGAACTCCATTAAATCAGAACTATTCTAAATATTTTCAATCCCTCAGCAAAGACCGAATTCTTCAGCGGTGGAGGTACCAGTTCTCTTAGACTTGACTTCTGTCTACAGCTTAATGTTAGTAAAAGCGCATACCAAAAGTGGAACCGGTTACAATATTATGTTCCCCTACAGCAATGAAAATACTACGAGGATGATTACATATAGTTACATCCTGCATTGGTGCTGTGGTAGTGAACTAGTGAGTTTGATATTGCAAGATGAGAATTATCCTGTCCATATTTTATAAAAATGGCATCACACTAAAAACCGAATAAGTGAGTGAGTTAAAATTTAACGTCGCATCGGCATAATCTCAGCCATATAGCGACGAGACCAAGTTAATATATTTACAATTTAGTCATTTATGCAAAGTTTTGTTTAAAAACAAGTTGTAAAACATATTTGAGCATACTATATTTAGAAACAATTCATGAAACATATTCGAGCATAACGATATTATATATACAGTTTTAAAACACGGGCTATAGGCCACCAGTAACCAAAGCTAGGCCACCTCGCTGGGGATCATGGGGACTTACAGTACCTCTGCTTCCTCCATGATACCCCGGCAGGATTTACGTCATAGCTTTAGCCACTGGTGGTTGTGCACAATGCTAGCCAATATTAAAAAATACTCATCAATGAGTTGGTTTAAAAACACTGGTTGATGTTAGTTACATTGATTATGATAGGATTACGTGTCACACAGGGGGGCAATATTTTTACGGTACTTTAACCTAAAAAATGTCTCCAGATTTGGTGACGATTATTTTAAGGTTTGAACCAATAATGATAGTATTACTATTTTTTCATCAGTTTGCGGGTCCACTGATTAACACGAACTTGCATGATCGGACGATGGTTGTCGTTAAGGTATGGTTTAACACGCATCAGTTTGTGGCAATAGTGGCTTATCTTCACACCCATCTTATATCCAACAAGTATACGTTTAAAAGTTGCTATGACTACCTATACAACCTAAATAAATACAAAAGAAAGTATACACTTGAAAATGAATTTGACCAAACATTTACAAACGTTATCAAAACGTTACTAGCTGAAAACATTCGCCGAAACACTGCAAACCTTTGGTTAAAAACACAACTATGATACCCGCATCAAATACATCACCATCGAATAAACATTTCCTGTTTGTTTCATTTTAGCCACCATCAAACATGGGTGTATCCTTTCTTTTGCCCGGCAGGTTAAATATAGATAAAGAGGGTCATGAAAAGTGGTTGCAGTTATGCCTGTGATATGATTTTAGAACTGACAAATTACATATACTGTCTCCTGCCTTAATTGTTGCGCTCAACGAGTTCTATTCAATCGAATACTCTTTTGCCGTTTATCTGAGCATTTGTCATTAATTAAGGGAAACAATTGTTCAATAGATTCCCAATGGATATCAACTACTCAACAATTTTAATCAGTCAGAATATCTCTTATGTAATGAGAAAAAATATAAAATAATGCATTGAATATATATACAATATTAACATAAATTTGAAATGCCTCATTTATGTTTAATTCCTTGGAAAATTGCATTATATTATAATTATTTTACAAATTACATTTGACAACGCTTTTCAACCAGATTGCAGCACGCGCTCACATTCATTATACAAATAATATTGTCATGACAATCAGTAATTGATTTGGAGAAGCATTATATTTATTTGAGTGTTGAAATCATTATAAATTTTATATGGCCTTAATTTTCTTTTCAAAAGATAATTGTTTCTAAAATGGCCTTGACCCTTTCCTAGTTGGAAATGAATGCCAAGGCATAAACATCGGACCATGACATGGTTGCTCATGCTATCAACCACTGTATAAGGAAGTACAGTAAACTACGGTTATAACGAATAGGCTTATAACGAAATGACCGATATAACGAACTTTTAGTCCCGGCCATTTGTTGTACATATGCTTATAACGAAATACGGTTATAACGAAATAAAATTAGTGGTCCCTTTGAGTTCGTTATAACCGTAGTTTACTGTATTTGGGACCATATAAGATAGCAACGCGATAAATCGCCAAGGTTGGTTGATTTGTTGTTTAACGCCGCACTCAGCAATATTCCAGCAATATGACGGCGGTCTGTAAAATAATCGAGTCGGGACCAGACAATCCTGTGATTGATATCATGAGCATCGATCCAGGCAATTGGGATCGATGGCATGCATCAACCAAGTCAACGAGCCTAACCACCCGATCCCGTTAGTCGCCTTTTACGACAAGCATAGTCACCTTTTACGGCAAATATGGGTTGCTGTGAGACCTATTCTACCCCGGAATCTTCACGGGTCATAAATGAAGCGTGGTTTATTTCACGACAAAACATTATTGAATTTCTGACGATTCGAACATGCGCTCGCCACTTCATGGCTTGGTAAATTGGACGACGTTATTTTTGAAAGGGGCGTGTCTTGTGAGTTGTTCCCCACAGATTTAGCTCGGCAGCGCAGATAAACGCAATGGCCGAACGATGACATCCGTACGTGGGCGATATATGACAATCGGTATTAATAGAAAAGGTACAGTCAGATAATCAACGTGAAAAGTTTGAGAATATCAAAATTAACACCCCTGTTCATAAAATGAACTTGACCGATATTGCCGAGGCCGGATTGTATTCAGGAAGTCATCATTAATTAAACCCAGGTAAATATTTCTAACGCTTGTACATTTGATCAAGATCCTTAAAGAGACTGTTAAGTTCTTGTATGGGATTTCAACTTTGTGTACAGTACACAAAGTTGAACTCTCATACAAGAAATAAACGACTCGAGGTCAATGTTTATCCTACAACAAAGCATTCAATGGAGAATAAAACACTCGGGGATGCACCCCTCATGGTTTATTCTGCATGCAGTGTTTTATTGTAAACAACCCTCACTCATCGTCCTAATTACAAGGAGTATATTCATTCACTGACCAGTTTAACCATATTGGTGGCAGTTGGTGACACATTGGCTCTGTATGTGTTGTGCGTGTCCACTATGGCTTGTTTGTCCGCGGCTGACAGGGGGGCCTCTGTCCCAATGTCCACCAGACACAGGGTGTAGTGAGCGTCTCTGGCAAGGAAGGCAGGGTCGCAGCCCTAGGAGAAACATTGATATCAGTTGAAAGGTTAGTGAAATGGGGTTTAAAGTCGTGTAGATTATTGCATTTATATAGCTGTTGTACGTTATAAGAAAGTCAAGTGATTCCGAGGAATGAGAGAGACTAAATGATTTCTCTTAATAGTATTATAAGTTTTTCTTGAAATTCATAATCATAATTTCATTATTTGTAATTATTATTCATTTATTGTCAAGCACCGCAGTCTGTAAGTAATCAGTCTGTAAGTCATCGAATCGGGACCAGACAATCCAGTGACTGACATCATGAGCATCGATCCACGCAATTAAGATCGATAACATGCATCAACCAAGTCAACCAGCCAGCCCACCTGATCCCGTTAGTCGCCTCTTCAGACAAGCATTGTCGCCTTTTACAGCAAGCATGAGATGCTGAAGACCTATTCCTCCCCGAATCTCCGCAGACTTGGGTTGATGCAAGTAGTCAACGTGGCCCAAGTGCATAGATCGATGTTCATGACGTCAATCATATGATTGTCTGGTGTTATTTACAGACAGCTATCATATAGCTGAAATATTGTTGAGTGCGGCGTTAATCAACAAACAAACAATCACACACATAATGCGTGTTACTCTTTGACATAGAGACTCTACAGTATGCAGGTTCAACATAAGATTGTATGTTACACAGCACTATGATACGGATTGGTCAAGCAGCTCCCCTGCGCACAATGGAATCTGTGTCGGCTGAAAATCGTGACGGATTATTCTCTGCCGTTGACCTTATATATTCCCATGCTCATAATTATTGCCACCTAATTCTATGAGCCTTGTAGGGGCGGTCGGGTAGCCTAGTGGTTAAAGCGTTCGCTCGTCACGCAGGAGACCCGGGTTCGATTCCCGACATGGGTACAATGTGTGAAGCATTTCTGGTGTCCCCTGCCGTGATATTGCTGGAATATTTCTAAAAGCGGCGTAGAACCATACTCACTCACTATGACCCTTATATCTAGGGTGCGACAGTAATTATGAGCAGGGGTATATGCACACGCCGTTAGATAACTGAAATACTGATAAGAGCGACGATAACATCAGCTCACTCACATGTACATGTGCGCTTCTCAACCGTTCCGGCGTCACGGGTAGCCCAGTCGTCTAAGGCGCCGCGATTCGCTGTGCAGAGTTGCGTCCCTTGGGCACGCCAGAAACCTATGATTGTGGGTTCGAATCCCGGTTCGCCCCGATTATGTTTCAAGGTTTGTTATCACCATACCCGTGCTCGTGGGTTTCACCGAAGTGGTAAACGTCTGAGACCTGCATCACTTCGGGCTTTCCTCCCACATTAAGCTGACACGCCGTGATATAACTGGAATACTGTTAAAAGCGGCGTTAAACCCAACTCACTCACTCACTCAATCGTTCCACTTACCGACTGAACAATGAAGTTATGCCCCGCGAATGACCCTGCAGCAAAAACACAAACTCTTAAGACTTATCGATTTATATAGCTATATACTTCATAGCATACTTTATTTAAACTGTAATTTTTTATTTCCATTGCCAATAAATCTTGAAAACCCATGCAAACCGATAAAGTTGATGTTCATGTACTTTTAACCCATAATCCCGGAATGAAACACTACCGCCCAAGCGGTAAATCTTGAAAATCCATGCAAACCGATAAAGTTGATGTTCATGTACTTTAACCCATAATCCCGGAATGAAACACTACCGCCCAAGCTGTTTCAGTCCAGGTAATAAGTAAACATCCATATGTCAATCTAGTGACAGCTTCTCACTATAATTAGATTCAGACAATATACGGTTTCACTGACGTTACTAATTGAAAGACTGACCTTGACTATAAGTAATGTACACTAGGGTATAGTCTAGATTCATTTAAGGGTCAGTTTTTGAACAGCCTCTTGCTGTCTTGGTTGCCTGATTCTTCCAATACTTTGGTGATAAATAAGTATTTTTGAGTTGAAAGATTGCTTTGTAAATCCTTCTTCAAACTTTATTGTCATACTTGGTTTCAAACAAATATCATGTTTTACGTTAACGTTGTCATGTTGTTAGTACGAGTAAAGGCTAAATTAATGCAGTTTATATGATGCTTACACACCCAAATAATAATCGGTCAAAATTTTGGATTCACAACCATGACAATAGCCAAGTCATTTAACTCGTGTGGCATACTGTGAGACTTCGAAAGACTTCACTGTCGAAGGAATATGAGATGATTCTACAATTAAATTACTGCGAATATTGTTTAAGTTTTGATTACTCAAAACAGGTTTGTTGGTTGGTTGTTTAAATCCGCACTCTGCAATATTGCAGTTATATGACGGCGGTCTGTAAATAAATCGAGTCTGGACCAGACAATCCAGTGATTGATATCACGAGCATCGATTCACGCATTAGTTGTTTTACGCCGCACTCAGCAATATTCCAGCAATATGACGGCGGACTGTAAATAGTCGAGTCTGGACCAGACGATCCACGCAATTGGGTACTCCCATGGCAAGTTCTTGTTCAAGTCACCATATGGCTGAAAAATTGGCATTGTGAGCTTACTCACTCACTCCATGAGAAATTAATTAATTATTTGTAAAGTACAAAAGTAAAGATAACAAATACCATTTAAAGAAAATTAAAACATGAAGTAATTTATTCTATCTGATAAGTTGTGATCCAATGCTAACACTAGTAGGATTTATCCCCTCACTCACCCTCCACCATGAGAGCAGCAACCACCAGCATCAGCAACACAATATGCCCCATGACTGCCTTCCACGTCTTCCAGACAACGCCAACTGACTGAAACTACACTTAACGCCTTTTATACAGTATTATAGAACAGATGGCGAAACGTACAACGCAGGATGCCATTTATCAATATATGATCTAGTAGAAATACATAGGGGATATTATATCCGTGTTCATGTCAAAGTATGTTTTATCATTCGAAATACGTTATTCCTATCATAGTTTTAATCGTATAATGTGTGTTCTTTTAAAATTCGCCTAAATTTCCTTATCGTCGCCAACGGGGTCCATGCAGGTAGCAAAGGTACTGTAAGTCCCCATGGTCCCTAGTGAGACGATCTACCTTCAGTTGTTGGCGATCTATAGCTCTTTTTTTATAATATATTGTTCTGTCTGGTGATGTATTTTTATGGTTCCATGCTAGTTTTAAATTATAATCTGTGATAAGTCTAGTTATTTGACTGTCCCTTGTTGACAGGTTTTTATAGTTTACGTGTATTTATTATGTACAAACTTTGAAAGTCACGATATGGCCGAAATATTGTCTCACTCACTCACTCATACTATGTTAACGACGAGAGTGTCTATACATCTCGCTCGGGCCAGGGGTCAATACCGGTTGGTTTGTTGTTTTACGCCGCACTCGGTAATATTCCAGCTGTATGACGGCGGTCTGTAAATAATCGAGTTTGGACCAGACAATCCAGTGATTGACATTCATGTCATCGATCCACGCAATTGGGATCGATGACATGGTTGGTGTCAGCGAGCCTGACCACCCGATCCCGTTAGCCGCCTCTTACGAGAAGCATAGTCGCCTTTTACGACAAGCATGGGTTGCTGAAGACCTATTCTACCCCGGATCTTCACGAGTTTCCAGCGCGACGTCAAATTCATCTCACTCTGCCTTTTCATTTTCTTATTTGATATAAGGTAAGTTAACACAACTTTTCACAATGATCTTTTCCAGAAAAATGTAGACTAACGGGATAGGGTGGTCAGACTCGCTGACTTAGTTGATGCATGTCATCGTATCCCAATTGCGTGGATCGATGCTCATGATATCAATCACTGGATTGTCTGGTCCAGACTAGATTATTTACAGACCGCCGTCATATAGCTAGAATATTGCTGAGTGCGGCGTTAAACAACAAACAAACAAACAAACTAAAAATAGCCGCTATGAACATGTGTCTACAGGTAGCTTTTCTTTTTGAACCTGCTCTGAAATATTTCGTCAAGACGTTTTCACCCAATTTGACATAAAAATGCATAACATGATACGTATGATATGTGATCTTATGTTGGTTTGTTTGTTTGATGTTTTACGCCGCACTCAGCAATATTCCAGCTATATGACGGCGGTCTGTAAATAATCGAGTCTGGACCAGACAATCCAGTGATTAATATCATGAACATCGATCCACACAATTGGGATCGATGACATGCATCAACCAAGTCAGCGAGCCTGACCACCCGATCCCGTTAGTCGCCTTTTACGACAAGCATGGGTTGCTGAAGACCTATTCTACCCCGGAATCTTCACGGGTCTGTGACCTTATGTATTGTGGTGAGACCTTCCTGTATCGTTTCACCCATTTATTATTAAGGTTCACACATTTATTATTTCTTCACAAGTATGACAGGTTTTACTTTGATGTGCATAATAACAGTGTGTTTTTTAATTTTGAAATTAGATGTAATGAAGCTTTTGAATTGTAGTCTAACAGAGTAATCTTTAGACATCGGTTTAATTCCCGTTGAAGACAAACATATCTAGAATCCTTATTCACTGCATGTATTTTTATTTTGTGACACAATGTCTTATCCTTGTGTTAATATTCATATCCATATTATTATATGTGTTGTTTGTTTTCAACAACAAATTATATACAATTACTGTAGTGAAAGTAAACATATTATTACTTTACAAAAGTCAAGTCTTAGTATCGATAACACATGCAGAGATGTCTTAAGCTTCCTTACTGACAGAAATACTGAATTGTTGACTTTGGAGTTACAGGAATCTGTCCCTAAAATAATTGTAATTTTTGACAAAATGGAAACTATGTCACTTGTGTGCTTAAAACTTCATTTAATAGTCCATATATTTTACAGTTATTTTTTTCAATCAGGTTTTTTCTTTTACAGTTATTCATTTCAAATGTTTTTTTCAGACTCGAGAGCTATGATCGCAACTGCAATTTTGGGAGAGAGACAGAACTTGAAGTTGAGTTCGAAATGACACGTAGGGATGTAAATGGTGACAGTCATCTTCCTTTCTTAGCACATGAAGCTAAAAACAATTACATACAGCCATTTCAGAAGAAACTTGGTTCAAGTTCAAAGAATCTGTTCACCAGTAGGTTTTTGAAAATTGTTCGTTTTCAAAGCATGGTAACATTTGTTTCCTGAAGTCCGAGTGCCGTGCTGAAATGAAGAAGCATGTGACTTACAAAGTTGATATTGCAATTGATGATGATGGTTCAGTTGTGGAGGGGCAGTGTGAGTGTGTCCATCAGGACATTGCAAACACATTTGTGCAGTTTTATATGCTGTGCATAAATTTTCAACAACTGGTGATGTAGTAACAGAAGAAACATGTACACAAAGATTGCAAACATTCCATAAAAGTAAACCCTATAAAGGCAGTCCCATTAAGGCGACTGACTTTGATTTATGCAACAGTGAACTGTACGTCATATTTGACCCACGACCCGTTCAGTATCGCAAAGTGCCAAATTACCCTGACTTTTTCCGCACAGAGGAATAAGCCACCAACCCCATAAATATTAGTAAGCAACATGCGCCAACATTAAGGCCAAATGGGCCCACAAACAAATAATTTTGGATCCCATACAAAAGGGTTTGTCTTGATTTAGGTCCACTGCCCTAAGGTAGACTCCTTAAATTTGTTTGTTTGTTGTTTAACGCCGCACTCAGCAATATTGCAGCTATAATATATGACGGCGGTCTGTAAATAATCGAGTCTGGACCAGAAAATCCAGTGATTAATGCCATGAGTATCGATCCACGAAATTGGTATCGATGACATGCTGAAACCAAGTCACTGCCAGCGAGCCTGACCACCCGATCCTGTTAGTCGCCTTTTACGACAAGCATAATCACCTTTTACGGCAAGCATGGGTTGCTGAAGACCCATTGCTGATTAAGAGCATTTTGAAAGCACATAGTATTAACATGACAGGACAGGCACATAATGACTGAAAGTTATCATAAATCTTTGCAAGATGCCCTTTTTCATATATATCTGAACTTGAGGTGACAATTGACATGTTTTGATGCATTCTCGTAAAAATGCATAATCCAAAACATAATCTTATCAAACATTCAATTATCTTTCTAAAAAATCATGTAATTCGCAAGTTGACCCTGGTCTGCCCTCTTCAGCCCGAGTCCCCTTTTAACTGTCGGATGGAATTTTGAAAGTTCTCCACATCAGAAATACAGCTCCGCATAAGCCTATTCATGCCGTGCAGCTTCCCGTAGACACTGCCAGACAATATTTTCGCGAGTCAAGCTCAGCTTGCAATGACGGACTTTACCGAGGTGTGACGGAATCGACTCTGTGACGTCATATTGGCAACGCCGTCATTGTCAACTTATCAACCAGATTCGCATTTGGTCGACTCTGCAATAACTGTGCCAAAATTGTCTGTTCTGTGAACGAGATCCACCTACCAGAGTTTCATTATCGTCGGAACGAGGGGGAACTATAAGTCACATCAACTGATATACACCAATGTTAGTTCATATAATGATCACAGAAGAACGACGGAAAGAATAGCCTCGTTGACACGTGACCAGGGCGTACATATATTACAGCCAATGTGTAAAACCAGTCACTTTGTAAATGGTCTGATTTACTTAATTATCATCAATTTACCAAATCCCTTAATAGTTCAGTCATTTTATACATTACTAGAAGTCCTACCCGTGAAGATCAGGGGTGGAATAGGTCTTCAGCAACCCATGCTTGCCGTAAAAGGCGACTATGCTTGTCGTAAGAGGCGACTTAACGGGATCGGGTGGTCAGGCTCGCTGATTTGGTTAATGCATACCTTCGATCCGTTTGTTGTTTAACGCCGCACTCAACAATATTCCAGCTATATGACGGCGGTCTGTAAATAATCGAGTCTTGACCAGAAAATCCAGTGATTGACATCATGCCCATCGATCCATGCAATAAACCAAGTCAACGAGCCTGACCACCCGATCCCGTTAGTCGCTTCTTACGACAAGCATATTCGCCTTGAACGGAAGCACAGGTTGCTGAAGACCTATTCTACCCCGGATCTTCACGGGTTACATTACTGATCAGTGTGGGTTTTTTTTAATATGGTGATCTTTCCTGACCATGTTTTTTTAATATTATTTACAACATCTGACTGTTATTTGGAACATCGCTTGAATTCTGCAACATGCAGTCAAGTAGTCATGTTGCTTGGATCGTGTTCATGATGTAAATCACTGGATTGTCTGGCCCTCACTCGATTATTTACAGACCGCCGTCATATAGCTGGAATATTGCTGAGTTCGGCCTAAAACAACAAACCAAACCAAAAAACCGTCCTTTGTCGACAGATTTTATAGTATATATTTATGCGTTATTACTGTACAACTTAATTTAGTCACGATATGGCTGAAATATTGCCGATATGACCGTAAATCTGAACTCACTCTCTATTAGCTTTGTACTTAGATTAGGTTTGTTGCTTTACGCCGCACTCAGCAATATTCCAGGTATATGACGGCGGTGTGTAAATAATCGAGTCTGGACCAGACAATCCAGTGATTAATATCATGAGCATCGATCTACGTAATATGGTATCGATGACATGCATCAACCAAGTCAGCGAGCCTGACCACCCGATCCCGTTAGTCGCCTCTTACGACAAGCATAGTCACCTTTTACGGCAAGCGTGGGTTGCTGAAGACCTATTCTACCCCGGAATCTTCACGGGTCCCCGTCATGTTTGTTTTTAAACACAGCACTCAGCGATAATGCAGCCGTATATATATATATATATATATATATATATATATATAGCTGCATTATCGCTGAGTGCTGTGTTAAAAACAACAAAGCAAATGGCATTAACAGCTTATCAAGCTGCACCAGGGGAAGAGAGGACGACTCTTCATCAAGCGTTTTGAAGAGGGGTATGACTTGCAGAACGATGAAGTGTACAACATCTGAATGGATGAGTGAGTGAGTTCGGTTTAACGCCGCTTTTAACAGTATTCCAGTTATATCGCGGCGTGTCAGCTTAATGTGGGAGGAAAGCCCGAAGTGATGCAGGTCTTAGAC